TTAAAGTCAACTCATAAAACATTTAAAAAATGCTAATTGCATTACAAAAATACTTTACAGTAACATCCAGACTAGTGTTTGACCAAACAACTGGGCACCACAATCTCACCACATTGGCATATAAAATTAACCATCATAAAACCCTTTATTTTCTATTTCTTGTAGTTCCCTGGACTTCGTCAAGCTCTAAAAGATGACTTTCTTAAGTTTTTTTAGAATGAGTTGATTTGGAATTCACATGAAAGCTGGCATAGTTTCTGGGACTTGGGAGATCCCATATGGCCGATACCATCCTTCCTCAGAGGAAGTTTGGTTAGGATTTGTGTTTAGCATCTTTCCTAAAGGACTTTATTGAATCCCTAATGCTCTTAGGAAAAGGTCTGAGCATCCCAATGTGTTTGGTCTCTACTGACTTCTGCAGCCTGCCAGGGACCCCTTCTCTGCACACTCAGTGCCAGGTTCAATGGCCAATGCTGTTTGGTGCCTCTCATTCTTTGTTTCTTTTGATGGGAATACTCTCTTCCCTCCTCTTCTACTACTGTTCTCATGTGAGTAAATTTGAGATGATTCCTTAGGTCTCAACTCTGTATCCATTTTCTCTGGAACCTTCCCAAGGCTGATGCGCCTGTGTTGACCACAGGGCCCACAGCACTGCTTGCCTCTTCACCCGTGAGTTTCAAGTGGGCAGAGCTGATGTCTCATTTCCTTAGGCCTCCAGTACCCAGGGCAATAGATGGTACATGATGAACATTGAATAAATACTTGTTCAATATCAAGTGCAGATGAGAATGCAACCTTGGATGTCTTTGTCATCTTTCTAGTGCATATGAGGGCTTTTTTTCCCTTCCAAGTAAGTTACTATTTGAACATGAGTTCCTCCAAACACCCGTCATTATATCATAAATGTTCCTTCCAAGGAACAATTAAAAGAGTCAAGAGGTGACTCTCTTCTCAGTGGAATTCATGTCAAGCACACAATGTGTTCTCTCCTTAGGAGCAGGATGTAGTGAGCTGGCCTGGGCCCAGGTCATGAAGGATGAGTTTCATGTGGAATCATTGCCCCATGGACTCGCCCTCAGGCTGCTCCAGGAAGAGCGACATGAAGATGACAGGTACATACATTCAAAATTGCTTCAAGGTGGTCTCAGTGCCATTTACTATCCCCAGGAGCCTGCCCTGGAGTGGATGCGGACACATTAGCCGTGAGCACGGAGACATTGATGTATATGTGTTTAGTCTGAGCAGGTCTAGCAGGGCTGCGTCACTGTGGAGTGCAGCCACCTCGAAAAGAGAAGAAAGATGGGGGCACACAGCATGTGGCAGGCCAGCTCTTCCTTCCTCAGACAGGGCGGCAGCTCTGGTTGTCCTGTGATGAGATTTCTATTTTGCTCTTCTCTATAAACAAGTCTATTTATTTCAACATTTCCAGAGTAGTTTTAGTTATTTAAAAACATGGATCGAGGCACTGAACTTTCTGCATCAGGAATGCAACCATGAGCAGGGAGCTATAGCCCCGCCTTCAAGGAACTTACAGTCTAGTCGGGGAGATGCTCAGAGAACATAGAAATTGAAGGCACCCCGCCCCCACCCCCATCAGTGCTTACTAAGCACAGAGTGCCAGGCACGTGCCTGGTGTGGGATCAGGTGGTTCATATTTACCACCTTACTTCATCTTCACAACAATCTTCTAGAAGGAGGTATTATTACGACTACATGGGTAAGGAAATAACCTCCAAATTCTTAATGAGCTTTGCTTTACAGCTTAAAATCAAGGACACAGAATAGATTTAAACCAAAGCCAACTGGCTCTAAACCAATTCCTCATTGTTCTACCCAGCTTCTCTCTAGGATCAGCAGCTTCATGATGAGTCTGATTGCCTGTTCATTTATCTAAGGGTTATATCAGCAGTGCATATAAGACACAGAGGAGGGGGACGTTGGGCTGGGCTTCAAAGAATACAAAGGAATCAACCAGTGGAAGATTGGGGAGGGTATTCCAGACATGCGCATAGTGCTGTGCTGGAATGTTCCAGCGCTGGGGTCAGGAGGTGGAGGGAGATGTGGGGAGAGAGGCTATCAAGGGATGGCCAGGAAACACATTGTAGAGAGGAGTCTGTGCTATTTCTTCAGAAATAGAAACCATTAGTTATGTTTAAGCAATATGTCAGTATAACCAGAGTTAAAAACCAATCCTGGAGGCAGTACAGAGGATTGACCAGTAGAGGACAACAGAGAGTGAAAAGCTAGGAGATCATTAGGACACCATTGTTATTGGTTTTGTAAATTAGAATTCTGTGTTGTGGACACATTGTATCAGTGACTCTGACATGTTTCCACTGGGAAGCAGCAGATCAAGAGTTACTTAAAAGTTTCCAGGTAAAATTTTTTTTTTCTTGTGTTTGTCTTATAATTACAATCTCTTAGGGCAACATCAGTTTTTTTTTTTCTCCTGATGTATGAGGAAATATAACAAATCACTATATTTATATTATAATAATGATGATGCTGTAGGGTTCACTGGACTCATAGTCAAGGCTTCCCTTCTGTACTAGAGGAATTATTCTTCCAGTTGCTGAGAGGGCTGCCAGCAGATAGCCCTCAACTCCTAGTCCCCCCCTTTTAGGATAATATCATTTGAAGAGAGCGGCATTTCCCAAGACCAAAATTCCTTTCTAAGGCAACCCAATTCAGTAATAGAAGTTCATGGAGTTATAAATCTCTGGCTCCCTTGTTCCAATTTGGGACAAGTGTTAAAGGTCCTTCTGCTTCTAGGCTCCTTTGTTATTGAATGAGACCTCTGGTACGGCTGCAAGGCAACCCGCTCCTTTGTCTGCCTGACTCTGCTTCCCATCCTTCCCTTTCCCTTGTGGGGTCCTGAGAGTACTAAGTACTTCGTGCTCATCTCTAGCTCAGCTTGTTTCTAGGGGACCTATCCTACTGAAAATGATGGTTGCAGATAACATTCATGCCTGGCAGCCTGTGAGGGGGTGTGCACATGTGGTCTCATTCCCCTGCTCACATGACCCAGTACTATAGCCAAGTAACCTGTAATAGTGTCACCATCCTGTTGCATGGGCATTGCAGAATCTTCTTGCCTACTATTTAAGGTGACCTTAAATTTTTCCTGGAAGTGCAGGGCAGGGGTCTTAACTCCTTTACACATATCAGAAACTGAGGCTCACGAAGAAATATTTCCCCAAGACCATAAATCCTGTAATGTTGCAGAATTGTCTAACTTTCTGGCCAATTCCACTATCTAGAGAATTCTCATCTCTTCTCATGCTACTTAATACACTCATATCCCAGGCAACCTGGGGCCACGATTTCTGTACCCCGGTCCAAAATCTGGGTATTTACCAGTTATTGAATTTTAAAACCTCACTCGAAACACATGCCATAAGAAGAAATGGAAAAGACAAGACTGACTCTTATATAGCACTAGTACCCAAGAGGACTCTGGGGAGGAAAGAAGATAGGGAATAGGACTTGAGAAGAAAAGAATAGACCAAGGAGAGGAGAGGAGAGGAGAGGAGA